CTTCGTGGATTTGATCCCTACATCCCCACAAAACATTTTTTTTTTTTACTCTATTGACTGGTACACAGTGAGATGAAGTGGGGTGCCTACCCAATGAGATCTCTTTCTCTCTTTCTTTCCTTCTTTCCTTCTTTCTTTCTTTCTTTCTTTCTTTCTTTCTTTCTTTCTTTCCTTCCTTCCTTCTTTCTTTCTTTCCTTCCTTCTTTCTTTCCTTCTTTCCTTCTTTCCTTCTTTCTTTCTTTCTTTCTTTCTTTCTTTCTTTCTTTCTTTCTTTCTTTCTTTCTTTCGGTTTTTCGAGACAGGGTTTCTCTGTGTAGCCCTGGCTGTCCTGGAACTCACTCTGTAGACCACGCTTGCCTCAAACTCAGAAATCTGCCTGTCTCTGCCTTCGACCACATATTCTATGCACATAATGCTGAACAAGATCAAAAAGTATCTGCTCTCAGTGAGCATCCTGACATAAACGGAGACCACCATGTATTGTGCCAGCCTCCCCATAATTCATCCACCTGCAGCAAGGTTACAATTAGATAGCTCTCTGTACTTTAGATGCTAAGTTCATTCTAAAAATAAGGCTGAGAGCAGTGGCAAATGCATGTAAAACAGCATCCGGGAGGCAGAAGCAGGATGATTAACAACTCCGAGGCCAGCCCTGTCTACATAGTGAGTTCCAAGACAACTGGGGCTACATTATGAGACCTTATCTCAAGAAGAAAAAAATCAAACAAAGTAAACATAGGTAACTAATCAATTAAGAAATTAAAATATGAATCTAGGAGCAGTAGCACATATCAGTAATCCCTGCCCTTGGAAGGCAGAGGCAGGGTTGCTCTAAGTTCCAAGACAGCTTGAGCTACCAAGTGAGACACTGTTCCAAACATCCAGCCACCCATACACGGATACACACATAGACACACACAGGCACATACACCTATTGTGATTTTTTAGCTTTTTTGTATGTGTGTGCATGCACACATTTGTGTCAGTGCAGGTACCCATGTGTAATTGTATACGTAGAAGTCAGAGGATACCTCAGGCATCAGTCTTTTGCCTTCCACATTGTTTGATATAAGATCTCTTGGTTGTTAACCATTCTATAGTCCAGGCTTGTTGGCCTGCATGCTTTTATGAATTGTCCTATCTCTGTTTCTCAGCTCACTGTAGGAACACTAAGATTGCCAATACACATTATTGTATCTGGCTTCTACATGGCTTTGGTGAATTCAAACTTAGGTCCTGACAATTGTTTGGCAAGTGCTTTACCCACTGAACCATCTCCCTAGCCAGTCAGTCTATCTGCCTGCCTCTGTCTCTCTGTGCATGTGTGTGCGAGCACTGCTAGCTGCTCTTTCAAAGGACAGGGATTCAGTTCCTAGGACATGGCAGCTTACAACCATCTCTTACTCCAGTACAAGGGGATTTGATGTACTCTTCTTGCCTCCTTGGGTACCAGGCATACATATGGCATACAGACACACATACAGGCAAAATACCAATACATGTGAAATAACTATGTAATAATAATACACTAAAAATTGAAAAATATCTCAGTGTTTTAAATATAAGTGAACTCCAATGACTTTATTTCTAATTATTCATTAAATGTCAAGAAAAAAGTATATATTCAATGGCTTTTCTTTGTTCTGGAAGCATTTTCAAGTGGGAGTATTTAAGTAAAGACCTTCAAAATATTGATATGACAAGATGTCATTTCAAAGAGAGTCTCCTTTTTTTTCTCCTTTGAGTTTTGAGGCAGGTTCTCACTTAGGCCAAGCAGGCCTCCAGCACTGTGCAGCCAAGGACCAGTCTACAAGCCTAATCCTGTGGCCTCCACCCCCACCCCCACCCCCACCCCCAGGGGTTAAGATTAAAGGGCCTGGTGCAATACCAGTCAAAGTTCTCTTTCATCGAAAGATAAATAATTTCTGGTAGAACACTAAGGCCTAGTCTGTAGTCCTAGCATTAAGCACAAAGTCTAGGCCCTCCCTGCATGGACTGGAAAAACTGCAGGGCCACACCAGAGATAGCACTTCCGGACTTCTTAAAATAAACAGTTGAAGATAAGCACATTGCTACAGCTCCAATGACAAGAACATTTGTCAAACATCTCCAATATAAGCTTCATTCTTTTCCTTTTTGTCTTTAATTTACTTTTTTGGTTTTAAGTTATTTTAATTTCATAAGTGCACCATATTTACACAATGGTTTTTTCTTCATTTGTGTTAGGAATGGAACCTAGGTCCTTGCTCAAGTTAGGCCATGCTCTACTGTTGAACCCTTCCCTAGCTCCTCTTCTATTCTGATAGAGTCACATGGCAATCCTCCTGCTTCAGCCTCTACCATGCTGGGATTACTGGCATGTGCCACTGCTTCTAACTATATATTTCAGTTTAAGAGACAGCCCTTTGTTTTTCTATGAAAATTTTTCTCTCTCCTCTTTTGTAACAGGATCAGAGGACGAGTACAAGTTGGGAAGGAGGAGGACTGATGTCTGAAAGTTAGAGATGAGGAAAGTGTCATTGTTGAAAGTATATATCATAACGATTCTCAGTATCTAAGCTGGAAGGAAATGAGGAATGGAGAGGGATTCAATTAATAGCCCCTAGGGAATATTATAATCTACTTAGTTTAATTAACTTCAACTTTAATGAGATTTTTTTCAAAATAATATGAACAGCACACTAAGTTTGGCCTATTGCCAAAATGAATTTCTCTCCTCCTTCAAACTAATTAAATGAAAAAGGATATAGGAAAGTCATAGAAACAATAGTACATAATTGTTAAACTGTACTGATATGATAAAGTATAGTACCTGCATTCTTTAAACATA